CAACTGGAGATCTGATTACAGCTGATGGACTTGCTATCCAGATGTCAGTGGCTTCATTACCTACTTCCAGTTTTCACTGTAGAAGTAAGTCACACACTCGTACAGAGGAGAGAGATGGGAGAGAATACACCATTCCCTGATATGTTGTAGCTTATGTGGTGTTCAAAACCTGTGACATTACAGAGGGGCATTACTATGAAACTAAATGCATTTCCTTGCATGTTCAGCCAATTGTCTCCTAAAACAGAAGGTACTCCTGAAAATAAGGGCATAGAATTAAAGCTACTGTCTCACTGCTTCTGCTGAGAGTTTCTGCTACAGTTGGTTGAAATGCATCATTTTCCTGAGTAAGCTGTAACCAAAAAAAACAGGGTAGGGAGAAAGGCTTTTACTTTCTAATTTTCCCTCAGAAAAATTAACTTTTTGTTTAAAAAGCCACAACAGTAAATTAAAAAAAAAAATCTGAATGGCTCTTCTGCATTTCTACTCCATTTTGTTTAGCTTTCTGCTACTTAAAGAGCACGCTTCTTTAATGTGGGCCTCTCATCATTTAGAGAAACTGGCTTGCAAATGCTTTGCTTCAATTCCTCTGTAACTTTTGGATTGATTGATTGATTGATCAGGCAATTTTACTGCTTATACAGCAGCTTAGCAACTGTCCCCATATATGACAATAAGGCTAGGGACAGACATTACACATCAACCAGTTTAAGTGATCAAAAACTGGTTTAAACCTGTAACAGAACAGATGTTCAGTGCACATAAACCAGTTTGAAAATGGGTGAAACCAGTTTGAGATAAACCTGGTTGAATGTAGTATCAGACTTAACTGATTTGAGTCAAACCAGTTTGTGCAACGTCTGTCCCAGACCCTTCACTGGTTTTAAGCTAAACCAGACACCCCCAGCATCCCAGCATGTTCTCTGGGCTTGGTAGAACTCTCTGCTCCACAGCAGAGCTGGCTCCTCCCCTCTGCTCCCTGGCTGCAGCTCCGGCAGTGACTTGCAGACACAGCAGGGTCTGCTGGCTTCCCCATGCCCCACTCCCCCTCATCTCACCACTCACTGCTTAAGCAGAGATCCCTTCCTCCTCTCTCCCACAGCACAGACTGTAGCCAGCATGTACAGGAGACCCTCGCCATTTGCAGGGGATACATTCCAGAGATCCCTACGAATGGCGAAATCCGCGAGTACATCAGGAGTGCAGGGCAAATATGGTGGTGGTGGGAGCACGGTGGGGGCAAGCATGGAGCTCCCACAGATGCCGCTGGTGCTGTCAGCAGCAGGGGGGTGGGAGCACGGTAAGAGTGTGTGGGGAGACAGCATGCGCGGGAAGAGAGCGTGGGTTCAAATATTCACACCGCGAATATTCGAAACCACAAATGGCGAGGGCTTCCTGTAGTATGCTACCCATGGGTAACTGGTGACTCCTGAGTTGGGGGGGAGGCACTTGCCCCCCCAGCAGTCAGTCAGCAACTGGAGGGGGCACTCAACTGGCACTTCCAGTTGATGCAACTGGCCACAGGGGAACTCCCTGCCCCTCCCCCCCAGTTGGCACGATCGGCTGCAGGGGTTGCTTCTCCTGGCACCCCCACTCCCTGGCCAGCGCACTCATGGGGAACACCAGCACTCTCGCCTGCCCCCTCTGCCTGTTGCCTAGGCAGGGAACACTGGCTGTCAGGGGTGCACCAGCGCTCTCAGGGGGTGCACATGCACCACTGTGCACCTCTATGCGTCACCAGTGATGCTAGCTAATCCTGTGTAAGGCTGATAGTACAGCGTCTGCTTAGGGCTTTTTGGAGGTAATCAACAGCTCAGATGGTACTGTCCTTGCATTCCTTCCTTTGGAAAAAATTATTCAAGAGCTTGTAATGAGTGCAGCTTTGTTATCTGATGAGGTGTTAAATGCTGATAACAGAGCTGATAAATGCTCTGTTATCAAGGTGGTGGGGGCGAACCCCTCAACCCCTCCCTAATCACAGCATCCTGCCAGGGCCTGGCCACTCGGCTTTCTGAATGGCTGTCCTTAGCCTAAGAGTTCACATTATGGAAGATAAGCTTACAATAAGGCAAATTTAATCTGATAGGACACAGAAAAGCTCAAATCTAGTAATAAAGATGTTGTGCCTGTGTAATCTAGGGCTGCCAAGCAAATGCATGGATATACGATATACTATAGTTAAGAAATCCATTACCATTGTTAAGTTTTCTCATGGTGAAATGTGCCTCAGATTTTTTTTTGTTTGAGGGGAGGAGGTGGGTGAAGGGGAGAAAGAATAAAGTAGATTTTCAGTTAACAAGTGTTCTAAAAAGGAAAGGAAAAATGATTCCATATCTACTTAGGCAGGAGCTAACTGCAAAAACAGTGCCACAATGAAAGAGGTAGTTGGACACTTTCCAAGAACCAAATGATCCAATACAACTCCCTCGCTCCTTTCCCCAAAGCAAGACAAGTCCCTTAAGCAAAGGGTACAGCAACACATTATGCCAGAAACAGGGAAGCAATTGCATCATGTTGTGGTCATGGAGCAACTGTTCACACCAACACACAGGGGCTAGAGAGAGATGCCCCTGAAATGGTCATACGTAAGACTGCTATCAATTACCTCCTGTATCAACTATCTCCAGCACTTGTCCCCACAATGGTTTTTGCAGTAGCTAGCAATGCTTTTTCTAGATACCAGTACAAACAGCCACAGGGAACTACTGGGTTGGGTCAAGTTGCCCTTCATCTTCTCTCTGGCAAGCTATTCAACAGCCATTGCCATTCTTCAACAGCCAAGCCCAAACCCTGGATCCAACTCCTTTTCCTGTATATTCATGCCATGTCTGGATCTTACTTTATTCATAAATCTGACATTTCTTTTTATTCAGTCAAAATATTCAATCCCTTCTCTTATCCGGCCTCTTGATTACTCCCTTTGCTCCTCTTCCCATCCCTTACTAACTAAAAGTTTTGGGAAAGACAAACAAAACCAAAGTCAGATTGTCTGAAAGGTTTTGGTTTTAGCCAAATCACCACCCCAAGTACAAGATATGTAGAAAAAAAGATTGTTTGGAGCTTCTGGAGAATACTGTAATAAAAGGGAAATCTATTTGTTATAATGTCCTGCATGTAGGAGAAAACCAAGTACCACTTTCTTAAAAGTTTGGTATTTACAGGCTATTAGACCTGGTTATGAATAATTCTGTGGATACTAGCTGTTCTTCATAATTTAAATGCAGTCTTACTAGCTAAAGTTCCTGACCAACTAATTGATTCATTATAGTAATTTCATAAGACAGCTACAATTTATAAGAATCAGATTGGTAAAACACTATGAAAATCCCTAGCGGCTACGCCATGATAAAAATACCACACAACTCCTTGGATACATATTCTTTATGCTTGTTTTCTTGGGGCAGGAGGGAGGAAGCCTATTTTTACCTTTATCTTGAGGATTTTTGTCAGTCCAACATACATTTCACAGTTCTGCTTAAAAATAGAAACAGAAGCACAAAACAAATCCTTTAAAAAGCATTCTTAGATCATTACTTTTGTGATCAACAGCTGTGGAGCATTTACTGTCAATGGCAAACAGCATCAGTTCCAATTCACACATTTGAACTTTCAGAACTTCATTCATCAAGGAGATTGATTTATTTCTGGACCTGTGCCACATTACTCCCTTGTGTTTTTTCTCAGAGTAGAAATGAAGAAGCGAACCACTGTTTATATCTCCCCCTCCACTTTCCAGAGAAGCCCTAAGGAGAACAGCGGTAGTACATATAGCAGTCTTTAGCCAGATCAAAATGGTTCTAGTTAGAAGAAGGATCTAGGTGATTACAGCTATAAAGCCAATTACTGTAACATCAAGCAGAACTAATCAAGGGTCAGGGCAAAAACACAGAATCTAGAACAGTGTTTATCCTAGAAAGCTTTCAAGGTAGGTTATAGCAAGACACAGTAGGTGGCTAAGACTGAGGTGAATGAAAGGGAGATACCAATAAAGGAGGCAAGTTAGTGTAACGTATAACTATTAACATTACATCACTAACTGCTAGAAATTCTACATATACATTATGTTACTATTTACATGATGTATATGTTAAGGCCCCTTTCCCTCTCAGATGCTCTAAAACATCTTCAGTAGTAGCAAACCCAAGTGCTTAAATTGTGGTCCAGCTTCTCCCCTTCCAAAAAAATGCATTTGTAAACCAAATTAAATAATTACTTTTGAGCCACTGGAGTTGTTTTCCAGGTTTTCCCCTCTGCAGCCACAAAGACTAGAAACTTGCTTTTTAATATCTGAAAGCTCAGATGCTCACAAGATACTAGGACCTGGGTTTCAAGTACTGAACCACTGCAAGCCTCACTATAAGAGACCAGTAGCAATACTTCATCCTTAAACAAATGCAACGTGCATTAATACAACATCTGTATAGCCCATTTCTTACCTTAAAAGCCACAGAATGATGAAAGAGCCACCTTTGTTTCATCAGCAAGATTGCTAAAACAAGAGCATAAGTTATGCAACATCCTTAGTCCTAACCTAGCATATGTAAAATAAGGTAGATAGCAGGGGTCACGAAGGAAGGAAATGGTTTTCAGTTATCCCCAATGATTGTTGTTCTCTATACACCTTCTGATAAAGATTGATCACACATCCTATCTGGAGGAACTGGAAATGAAGGAGAGCAGTTAATGTGCAAACACAGGAAATATGAGACAGCACAAAGTGCTGCTTAAACCTTCTGCTCTGGAGATAACCTTGTTGCTATATTTATAAAAGTCCCTATAAAATTAGATACTGTGCAGAACTTAACACGCCTCCCTTCATTTCTGCCACTCAAAAGCAAGCATTTTGCACCACTGGCCCATCATTTTGATTTTCTCCTGAACAGAACAGGGCAGAGAGAGCCTAACAGCAGAGCAGAAGGCTCTTTTTGACAGCCCCATGACCCATTTGTTCAAGACTGAAACCAATTTAGTTAAATCACTTTATTTATAGAACTTCTGCTCACAACAAAAAGCAACCTTTTTTTTCCACCCCCATTTTTCAAGCCTTTTAAACCAGACGTGGGCCAGATCCACACCACACTAATGCAGCCAGTAAAAGAGAAGAGAACAATAAAAAGAGGACAGTAGGACCCAATTCAGTACTAGAGTCTATCCTGCAGGGAAGAGAGGTTATGAAGCAGCTGTGCTGCAGTAGGGCGCTCCTCAGCCTCAGCTCTCCAGCAGCTACCAATTATGCTCTCAAGTCTGCGGCCTGAGGGTGACCCAGAGAAGACTGCAGCACTCAGAGAGGGACGCAAGTTATAGGCCACCACAGCATAGAGCACATACTGGCGCTCCCCCAAATAGGGCTGCTCTTGTGTTACCACTTGCCAGAGGGTGATAGCAAAGGAGTAAATGTCTGCTTTGGGGGTGACCCTCTCCCCCTTGAGGAGCTCTGGGGCACGGTGTGTATACGTGCCCCCTTGCTGGCAAATATGGGGGTTCATCAGAGATAAGCCATCCTCCAGTTTCTGGGAGCACCCAAAGTCTCCAATCTTGCACACCCCCTGCTCAGTGATGAACACATTGGCAGGCTTCAGGTCCAGGTGCACAATGCATTGTGAGTGAAGAAAGGCTAAGCCAGTCACAATGTCACAGGAATAGCGTAGGGACTCGGGCATGCTCAGGAGCTCTTGGCCGCATCCTCCCCCATCATCTTCTTCCTTTCTCTGTGCCCAGCCAGTACCATAGATGACATGGTGCAGGGTAACACTGCCTGCATATTCCATGATGATAGTACCCAAGCTGTCCTGGCCAGCCGGGGCACATGTGCTGGCAGCCACAACACGTACCACGTTTTTGTGACGTAACTGGGCTACGTTCAGCTCAGCCCAGAAGCTCTGCCGTGATGCCAGACGGTTCTTGCTGCACTTCTTTACCTGCTTCACAGCAACTATTTCCCCACGATAAGTAGCCTTATAGACTGAACCAAAGCCCCCAGAGCCCAAGGGCTGCAGTAGGCACACTTGATCCCAATCTATGGAGCACCAAGCCAGGCGGGGGGGCAGCCGGCGAGCCCTGGGGGAAGGGATTTCTCCCAGGAAGTGTTTACCACCTTTGCCAGGAAGTGCCAAGGGGCTGCTGCAGGGCCGTGAGTCCACAGAAGGGGAAAACTCTGGGGGCAAAAAACGTTTAAAGGGGATAGGGGATGGCATTGGTAAAAACACAGCGGATCACAAAGAATTTGACTGAGAGCCCCTGCTAAAAGGAAAACTCTACAGCTCTTTCCAGAGTCCCCTTTATGCTCTCCTACGCATCACCCAAATGAGCTGCACCTGTCACCAAACGGCTGTGCCCCAATCGCTCTCAGATGAAATCACTCCTCGCCAACAGGGAATGCAAAGCCACATTAAGTCTTGCTTTTAAAGAAAGCTCCTTGATACAAATGAGTTTAGATTAAAACATGTTGGCTCACATTATGGGATCTGTGCCTTACACATCATTTCTCATCACAGGAAAAAAAATGCATCTTAAGTGTCTCCAGCTGAATGAGATTAGAAAAATGCTCCAAGAGTAAACCGGCCACAGAAATCAGATAATATATTTCACATATGGCTGAAGGCAAGATCATGCATTCAGGTGCATTAAATAGCTAAAGGTTGTTACTGGAGGGAGCAGCTAAAATGTAGAAAGCTAGCATTTGATTAATTTGTTATGGGAATAATTTGTTGCAAGAGGGAGCTTGTGAAGAATTGCCATTTAAACCTAACTGGTCTAGAAACCCCCCCCAAAACAAAACAAAACAAAACAAAAAGTTACCCAAGGTGTAAAGCAAAAGGGATGTACCAGGGTTGTCAGAACTTCTTGTCCTAATGCAGTTTACTTGAGGCACAGGGTGCTAGTGGCCTCCTGCTGTTCAGAAAAGAAGGAGCTTTTGAGTTAGCCATTAGTCTTTAGGTCAAGAGCACTTCCTATTCCAGGAACAGGCAATCTCACTACTGGATGTGCACAGTGACCTGGTCATAGTGGCAGCTACCTGAGGATGCTGAATTATGGTGTTGGCCATCCAGGGACACTGGGCTCCCTTAACATCCCAGCAGCAGGAGGAGTCTTTGGATGGCCTTAAGTGTGGGTGCCTTTACTTTCCTCTACCAAGCAGTATCCTCATATAATTTTACAGATAGACAAATTGGCTGGCTGTCCTCCTCCCTAGTATGCACACACCATTAACTGCTGCTCCTCCCTACCGCCTTTCACCTCTCCTGTCCTTAAACCTTATTTTTCACTCCATTTGTGTTCTATTAGCCTGACCTTTATTTGTCAGCATACTTTGGGTATGGCAGTAAGAGTACTAATTGATAAATTATGCAAAGAGGGATAAGTTGCTTGCCCGATGTCCAAATGGTGAATGCCATCGCCTTGGCAGATCAACATTTTAGCCAAACTGAGAAGCACATAGCAGGTTGAGTTCATATAGTTAATGATGATTTGGGAAGGCTGAGAGTGGTGCTTGTATTTTATTACCTTAGGACCCAGTAGGTCATGGCCCTTTAACTCATTCTCCAGAGAGGCCAAGTCACCATCCTGATTACAGCTCATGGACTGGGGATAAAATGTTCTGTACCAAGAAGTATTGTTACTGTCTTGTCCTACTGATGTGTGCACTCTTTTACTTAAGGAAGTGTTTCATTTAAAGTCAAAGACTTGGCAGGAAGAAGTAAATTCATTTAAGAAACAGTTTTTCCTCTCTTCCTGTTTGTTCTCCTTGATGATCACGCTTTTCTATGCCAAACCTCTTGCTCTCTCCTACCCTGGTACCACCTTAGCCATTCACTTCACCAAGCTACTTTTCTCCAGCTTCCTCCTTTTACCATATTTCACTCTCCTTCTCACTCATTAAGATTTTTACCTCCTTAAAATTCTTCTCCTCCTCTTTGTTCCTCCCATCCCTCCACTTCTATTTTTCAGTTGCCTGCTATGTGCATCAATGGTTACAGACCTTCAGCACCTCTGAAAAAAAATATAATTTCTGATTTTTAGGGTAGGAAGAATACGGGATTAAAAAACTGGAAGAACTTAAAGAACATATCAAATGGAATTCCTTTAAAATTTCCTTTGAGTTATTTTTTCCATTTCAAATTCAATTTTATAGGGGATTTTCTACTCACGTATAGCTGTTTAGCATTTTTCCCTATTAACTTCTTTCACTTGCAACTATCTTAGCATTGCCTGTAACAACAGAAGAGTTTTATACAAATATGATTTTCAAATTAACACTGTCTTTTTAACTACAATCCTTAGAGAAAGGCAAGAATGCAGGTTTTGCATTCTGCACTAGGTTTTCAGTGAATTACATCTTAGTAATTTAAAAAAGTATTTTAGGTCCACAAAAGACAGTATATCTCTTTAAGGAAGCTATATCCTATACCAGGGGCAGGCAATTATTTCAGGTGGAGGGCTGCTTACTGAGTTTTGGCAAGCCATCGAGGGCCGCACGACAGGCAGCCAAGGGCAGATAAATATTAATTTTCTAAATTTTTTAGGGACACTGCAGGCCGGATAGAATGGTCTGGTGGGCTGCATCTGGTCCGCGGGCCTCATTTTGCCCACCCCTGTCCTATAACTTACACTATTTCCTGGATGGTTATAGTGTGGAGAGGTATTCAGCCTCTTTTAGCCTGAATACAATCAAAAATTGCTTCAGAAATTGTTTTAACAGCTTTGATTTGCATATGGACACAGTTAGTGACACAGGGCTATGCACTATCTGACATATGGCAAGTGTCTTTTTAATTTAATCACCAAATCCCTCAATTGTTTGGCTCCAAATTTTTCCCAGTCAGGAGATGGAATCCAACTGCACCTGCACAAATATGCCTATTGAGGCAACCATTTTCTACACCTGATTGCATACTCCATGCTGACCAGAAGCGGGGGGAACTCCCCTTTGCTTAATAGTATCCCTAATAGAGCAGTTCTGTTGTATCCAAACTTACTCCCCTCAAGGAGAAAGTAAAGCCTTCTCCAGCAATGTATGTCCCTAACATGCACATGAAGAGAAGGTAAAACCAGGCCACCAACAAATGACTTCCAGAATTATGCAAGGCTAGAGCTAACTCCTTGAGGGGAGTAAGTTTGGATACAACAGAACTGCTCTATTAGGGATACTATTAAGCAAAGGATCAAAAAGCATCGAAGTGCAAGCAGAAGGCCAGAACCAGTAGTAAAAAGGACAGTAAAAGGAAACAATAAAAGGAAGACTTAGCTGATTTTCAGCATAATTCTGGAAGTCATTTGTTGGTGGCCTGGTTTTACCTTCTCTTCATGTGCACGTTAGGGACATACATTGCTGGAGAAGGCTTTACTTTCTCCTGAAGCTGAAAATCACCAAAGGAAACTAAGGGTATATTTCACTGCGAGAAGACAGGAAAAGAGAGATTTTAAAAATGGGTTTTTAAGATGGGTTACTCCTTTTAGCATATATATTACATTATAGTTATATATTTCACAAGAACTGCATATTCCATATAGTGCAGCTGCAATGATATACAACAAAAATTTTTACACCTACAAGTTTAGCCTTATTTAAGGGCAATATTTGTATGAAGTTAAAAACATCCACATATGTTCAGGGCCTGATACTGTATTTAGAATATATCAAAAACTCCCATTTAAATAGTATTTTAACTTTGGAAGCAATGTAGTTTCTGTCTCAATGGACATTGTTATTTTTATTTTAGTCAGATAAAAGGAATTGTTAACATTTGTTGGTATTAGTTAAGTTCCAACGAGACCAAATAATGGTAAGCTGCTACCCTGAAGATCTTACAGGTTAAACAACAGACAGAGATATGGTATGATGCTGGGGAACCTCAAAGACCTTTTCAACAGAGGATTTTTTTAAGGTTACATATTCATAGAATCACAGAAAATTAGAGTTGGAAGGGACTTCAGGAGGTCATCTAGTCTAACCCCCTGCTCAAAGTAGGACCATCCCCAACTACATCACTCCAGCCAGGGATTTGTTGAGCCAGGCTTTAAAAACCTCCAAGGATGGCAATTCCACTACCTCCCTAGGTAACCTGTTCCAGTGCTTCACCACTCTCTTAGTGAGAAAGTTTTTCTTAATATCCAACCTAAACTTTCCTTGCTGCAACTTGAGACCATTGTGCCTTGTTCTTTAATCTGCCACCACAGAAAAAAGTCTAGCTTCAGCCTCTTCCGAACCACCCTTCAGGTAGTTGAAAGCTGCTATCAGATCCGTTCGCAGTCTTCTGTAGACTAAGCCCAGTTCCCTCAGCCTCTCCTCATAAGTCAAGTGCCTCAGCCCCCAAACCCTTTTCACTCCACTGGACTCTCTCCAATTTGTCCACATCCTTTCTGTAGTGGGGGGCCCAAAACTGGACACAGTACTCCAGATGTGGTCTCACCAGTGCAGAATAGAGGGTAATCACTTCCCTTGCACTGCTGGCAACACTTCTACTAATGTAGCCCTGTATGCTGTTAGCCTTCTTAGCAACAAGGGCATGTTGTTGACTCATATTGTTCTCTCTCCCCTAAAAACGGAGCTGGTCTTTAATCAATGGGCACTGGTGATTGTGGCACAAGAAAAATAAATCCTTAAGCAGAATGTAATTTTAGGCTTAAAATGGGGAAATACACAAAACTGATGTTTGTAATCAAGTTCACTTTAGAGAATTTAACTGTAGAATTATTTTATTGCATTTTTCTTTACAAGAGTTATATTGCTTCTTCAAACATAATGCATTCAACTCCAGAAACTAGACACACTATAATTTCCAAGAACAAAGTTGTAGAGAAACCATTGCTTTGCTGGGTGTCTAACTGTTGGACACCTGGTGACTTCCTGAGTCAAATCTTTAATTGTGCAGCCTAAGCAAGCTATAGTGGCTTTACTACAAAGCATGTGCTCCAGTCATAAATATTTTGTTATTAAAAAGTATTATACTATAAACATAACTAAGTCTTCCTTTTATTATTTCCTTTTACTGTCCTTTTTACTACTGGTTCTGGCCTTCTGCTTGCACTTTGATGCTTTCTAGGGCTGTGTGAAATGGCTATGTTTCATGTTGGTTCTGGATTTGACCATTTTGGAGGACAGTGATTTGTTTCGGTGTTTCGGATCACTGTTCAGTTTTGATTCAGCCAAATCTGTTTTGGAGTTTTGGCACTGATTCAGAGACTCAGATCAGCTGGGGAGAGGCATGCACAGCTGGGCTGCTGCAGGTTCTCCCGCAGCTCCTCTGGCTGTGTCTACCTCT